AGATAACACAGGGAGCTTCAAGTACATGTATTAAGAATCAAAAATCTACATATAGCTTATGTATTTGTTTATTTTTATAATATCTTTATTCGGGAAATAAGGCCTTTGTTTGGAAGGGAGCAGCATTTGTAGACTGGAGCATTGGGTGATGAGAGTCGGATGGACTCTCCATGCATGATGGAGCCTGTGAAGACATTCCCAGACTCTGCACAGCTTTCGACATCTGAAAATAGGCTGTTGTTCATCTGGAATAGCTAATCTCTGACATGCTTTTATTGAGTCTTTGCCCTTCTGCCTTCTATTAGTTTTAATCCCCCTAATTATGAACTTCTTAGGGATTCTCACGCTACCAGCATCATCTGTCTTCAGAAATGGAAGATTCCCTCAGAAACCCACCATCAGTTTACTGATTTTGTTTTTGGTGTAGTTTGCCCTGTAAATGTTTTGGGTTCCTATGTTTGTCTTTTGTTTCATAGCCTTTAAATTTTGTTAATTGAAAAGACTTTTTTTTTTTTTTTTTTGAGAAGGGGTCTCATGTATCCCAGGCTGGCCTCGAACTCTCTCTGCAGCCAAGACTGTCCTTTGAATCCGGATCCTCCTGCATCTACTCCCAAATGCATGGAGGATTGCTGGCATGTGCTACCATGTCCACCAGTTGCAAAGGTTTTCATGACCCAGTCACCTGCACTATTTATATAATCTCTTCCATTTTCTTAGAAACCTCTTTTAATTTTCAAGTCTTATTTTCTCATTTATTACACATTTTGAACATGAACTCTACCTATAAAGAGTTTTTCCAGGTGTAATGCATATGCCATGTCTTCAGCACCTCTGTACTACCAAGAAGGCACAACTCTAAATGTAGCTTATGTAGTTATTTTTATGGGATTGCATGATCTGGCTTCTGCTTGTGCCTGGAGTCTCTAGCTAACTCTCAACAACTGTAGTTCTCGGTATGTTCCAAATTATAATTAATGAATAGAAAAAGGACAGCTCAGAATGTTCCAGGTTTTAATTAATGAACAGAAACTGAGCAGCAACAACTAGAATTCTCCCACCATTGTCAGGACCACAGAGTTATGCTTGGTTATGTTTAGAACTAATTAGATTCCTCTTTTTATAGAAGTCCTTGCACACACACACACACACACACACACACACACACACACAAACACAAACACACACACACATTGCATTTTGAGTATCACAGATATCATTGTATCTGAGTTTCCACCATGCTTAAAAAATACTGACTAGCTTTCTTAAAGCAATATACTACTGTCACTTACCCTCTGACCTCAGGGATCCTTCTTGGTGACACTTTGATAGAAGGTATTCTCAAGTTTGTGCCAGGAATTATTTCACTTCAATGTGGTATGATATACAAACACTGAAATGATTGACGGGAAGGAAGAACTGCACACTCACATGTCCCTGGTAACAGGAGTTGTGATCTGCATACAAACCCCCACACAGAAGCACAGGGACGGTCAGGAAACAGTGGGTGGGGTGGATGGTGGAGCACAGCCCAGAGCATCTATTAGGATTTTCATGGGAAGGAATGGCTGAGCGGGTGGATGTGCCCAGTAAGCTTAGGACTGGACACTTGGAGTCATTTTGGCAGGCTTTGGGCTGTAACAGCTGTCCCTCATTGCCTAGTGCCTGGTTCTGGGGTGGTTTGGGGCAAAGAGAATTCGTTTTCTGTGTGAATATTTGATAGAGGAAGTGGTCAGGAGGGTGGATGATCAAAACCTAGATAATGTGGTTTTCATATTAAGGTGTTCTGGCAGGGCAGTCACTGCTGTCTCTAGAGTGAGGGAAAGAGTCTCTCCAGGAACACAGGCTCGAATGCCAGAGCATCAGGTTATGTCATCAGCAGGAAAATGGATACAAGTGGAGAGAATCATATTATGGGAACTATTACACTCTCCCTCCTGTGGGTTCTAGACCTTATAGACACATAAAGCCCTTTATGTGTAGATGACAGGGAAGTAGAAAGTGGCTGGAGGAATGAAGGGGGCTGATGGGAGCTGGGGAAGGAGGAGGGTCATGGAGCCCCGAGGGGAATGTGCTCCAAGCGCATTTGACTTGCATGAAGATGGCCTCATGTAACACTATATAAATTATGGTCAGGACAGCGGGTGGCTTGGCGCTGACCATGGGTCTCTTGTGGATGCTGTACACGCTTGTGTCTGTCTCCCCATCCTCAATCCCAACCACCACAGAGTGTCGTTTTCAGAAGATTACAGAATGGGTATTTCCCTCTGGATGGGGTAATTACACTTAATGTTCTTTCTTATCTCAATGTAAGGAGGCATTGCTGTGGAGACTGTACGAATGTGAACAGGTGAATCAGGGTGTCATGTCTGCCTGCAAATGGGGGAGGGAGTGATTTTCCCCAGGTGGTGAATGCAGCATCCAAAGAAGCTTCAGCAGAGACAACACATGACAACACACGCTATACTACGCAGCTTTCCTCAAAGAGAAGAAACCTTAAGGTCGCATAACGGTCCATGGACCTAACATCCAGCCACCTGCTCCATTCCAGTCTTCTCTTCCATACAACAAGGGAGCGTGAGGTTAGCTGCTTGAGCTGCTGGAGCTGCTCACAGTGTATTTCTCCTAGTGACTGTAAATAGTGGTCAGGCCAGGGGGCTGTAGAGATACCACAGTGTTTAGGAACACTGACTGCTTTCCCAGAGAACCTGGGTTCTGCTCCCAGCACACACATGGCCACTCACAGTGCTCTGTAATTCCAATTCTAGAGGATCTCATGTCCTCTTCTGGCCTCTATGGGCACTAGACATGTATATGGTTTACATGCATACATGTAGGTAAACACACACACGAAATAAAAATAACTAAATAAAAATTTAAAAAAAAATAAGAAAGAAAAGAATGGTTGGTCCAGAACCAAGCACCAAAGGGTTAATAATCTTCTAGGAAGAGGGGACTGAATTGGGCTTTGGCAACTGGGCTGTGTCACAAACATTCCACAGCGACATTTCCAGATGGCAACTTGGGTAATTCATGACATCCTCTGGGTGGCTTGATGTTAAGTGACTCCCGTGAGTCATACCCGAACCTCTGGTCCCTCAGGCAGCTAATTAAGACACGCCCTGCCTCAAACTACTTTTCCATCTGGGTTGGTTTTGGAGGAAAAAATAATGAAGAAATTATATGATGTCACAGGAAGGTTTTTCTTTTGCTTTGTAATTTCCAGTTGACATCTCCAAACAAAATAATTATTTATAGATAAATATGGTGACCATGTTGAATTTTGAAGAATTATATTGGGAAAATTTGAGACAACTCTTTTATGGTCTCCCATTTATGACAGATTTTCAGACACTTCTGCCATTCAAAGCTCTGTGTTTGCTTTCTGTGGTCAGGGCCTGACTAATTCCCCCACTTGTCACCTACGTCCCCTTGCGCGTCTCACTGGGCCTTTTCCTCATTAATCTGGTGCAGTCACCAGTCCTGGAAAGGGCCCCTTTTCTTTTCTCTTCTTTTCTTTTCTCTTCTCTTCTCTTCTTTTCTTTTCTTTTCTTTTTTTCCCTTACTGATGGTTGAACCCAGGACTCCAGGCATGCTAGGGAAACACTTATCACTGTACTATATTCTCAGTCTAGAACATTCTTTTCATTCTCTTCCATCATCTACAATTTTGGAATCTATGTTTTTTAAAAAACAACAACCTTCTTTCACACTTTGCAGACGCCAGTGAACTATCTTTCTCCTGTTGTTTTATTCCTTTGTGTGTCTGTGGCACCTGAGTACGGAAGCCAGGGCGCCATGCTTGTGAGCAGCTCTCCCATTGTGCTGACCCCAGGGCCATTTATCTTTCTTCTGGGCTCTGGAAGACCTGGCAGTCACGGTCCCCATGGCATCTCTTCATTTTTGTCAGTGTGTACCTCTCTCCCTGCCCCTCTCAAATTACCTGTACATCTGTCTCTCTTCTATAGCTTTGTTACATCGCTTTGTATCCCCCCCACCCCCCTTCTTCCAAATACAGTTGCAAGAGCCTTGAGATAAGTAGCCAGCTGGAATAGTTCTTCTGAAACCTTCATGAAATATAGTCTCTAAGAGTGCTTAAGAAATATTAGCTCATTACATTTTATTTTTGATGGATGTATACTGCTTTTTAATTGTTCAAGACTCAGAAAATTCAGTGGATGGTGGTGGCGCACGCCTTTAATCCCAACACTTGAGAGGCAGAAGCAGGAGAATCTCTGTGAGTCTGAGGACAGCTTGGTCTACTAAAGAGTTCCATGACAGGCTCCAAAGCTACACAGAGAAACCTGTCTCAATGCCCCCCACAAACAAAACAAGACATACCCCCAAAACAAAACAAACAAACAAACAAACAAACAAACAAACAAAAACAGGAGTCAGAAAAGTCATTTCATGTCCACAAATATTTTTAAAGTTGTTTTCATTTTAACATGTAAAGATGTATATGTGTCTGTGGGTGCATGTATAAG